CTGTATAGTACATCAATGCCGTACTTGAACAAAAAATTAATCGCTTTGGTTATACAGGATTTAAACCATATAAGCATATGAATATATGGACTAGGAACTTTATCAATAACTTTCTTCTCCCCTAAGGGTCCATTCGTGTCTTGCAACACGGTTGCACCCCTACCTGTTTGTACCTGTACACCGGGGTATCCCGCTACTCGTCTCGAGTACTGGATTCTTTATTTTTAACACTGGACCTACGCTTTATAGTCTTCATCCGAGAATACTTCTACCACAAGAAAAATAGGCGAGCGTGTCATTCCGAACTAGCGCTGATATTATGACTGTAGGTTGCGGCGCGTCTGTTAACTGCTTGACCATTCGACTAGCCAACTTCACTGCTTAATCAACTAAACAAAACTGGGAGTCGGACGTATATCAATTAACAAAAGCACAGGTAAGAAAGATGTCTAGTCCTCCTTCTATACTCACTAGATTTATTTCTAAATCATGTCTAGCGAAAGAAGCATTTCGCTTCACGAACTGTTTTGACTTAGCAACGAAATCTACAATAGGCATGTACATCAGTAGCAATTTATTGTATCTCTCCATAATAGACCAACATTCGTACAGATATGTTATCACGGCCTATATGGTTATATCATATCATTCTTTATAAATGTCACATATTATAATTATTATCATCATCATCATCATCATCTTCATCATCATCGTCATCATCATCATCATCATTACTATTATTATTATTATTATTATTGTCATTATTATTATTATTATCATTAATATTATTAATATTACTATTATAATAATTATTATTATCATTATTAATATTATTAATATTATAATAATTATTATTATTATCATTATTATTATTATTATTATTATTATTATTATTTCTCCTTTACATCAAATACAACAGTGATTTTAAAAAACGGCAATAAAATTAAAGAATGATACGTGGTACAATCACAAAAATATTCCCACACCTCTGCCACCGAATAACACTTCTCATACAACACAAGATTATGCCCTCTCAAATTACTACCATAAACTACAATTAAGTAAAAATAATGAAATAACCCACAAAGGTGAAATACCACCAATTTACCCAGGAAACCTATTTCACTCCAGGAAACCTTTCGAAATTCCATGAAACCATTTCGATAATTCAATCACATTTAAACGATTATAGAATAAACATTAACAATATCAAAACCAACCATCGCGGTGCTTACGATTTTTTTTAAAGGCTTTGTGGCTTTTCCGAGGGAGGAGCTTATTCAAACCAACGCTTATTACAAATTCTTGATAGGCCTACTGCAACATTACATGGTAATAAATTATTGGTTTCACAAGAAATCGGGTTTTTAAATAGGTTTTTTTTTTTATAATACTTGGTAATAGAAAATAGCTTTAATCGGACGCCGCTTATTCGAAGGCGGAGCTTACCGAAAATAAACATCACATTTTGGTACGGAGAAATATCTGAGAACGGCTTTTATTCAAGGAAGAGGCACACTACACAGAAATGAGCATTTACGATAAATATTAAAGAAAATTATAAATTACAATATTTGGCAATAGCAATTATAGCATCAGTGATGTAGACATAAATGTGTGTAACGTGTATTTGTCAGTTAAACGGATTGCAGCTTGTTAGTAGACCTAGCAATGCGATATAAGAGTAGGTCGTCACTGTTGGTACTTTTAGCCCAAGAGCGAAAACTTAATGTAAACTCAATTAGCCTCTATTTATTCGAACGATTCTTCCTACAATTTTTTACTCTCATCATGATAAGTATTACACCATACGGCACAAGTGTTCACAGCAGACAACAAAACAACAGGTAGGCCTAACCCCTACACACGAAGGGCGTCCTGAATTCTTTAAAGTAAATACGACATGTTTTTTTTTTTTACACTGGGCCTATGGTTTATAGTCCTTAAACGAGAAGTCGAGATTCTACCATGTCCCGAACCACGAAGAATTGCGTCGTCCCTGCCTGAACCACTTAACTACTCAAATCGATATTATTATAAATCATATACAATTAAAATCCATCTCTGTACTCTGGCTCGTTTTAATTTCTGTCCGGTACAAGTGAATCTTAAATAATTTCACCTGGTTATTATTATGAATTGGTTTACTTAACAGAATTATTCCGTTATTCTGGTGTTATTACTTTTTATTATACTTCGTCTTACTGTTTATAATATATATCCTTGCAATTTAATAATTTTTTTTATTGTTTTAATAATTTTTTGGTACAAGGTTTTTATGTTTGAAGACCTAAACGTCTAAAATTTCTTTTTCCTGAATTCTTTAAAGTAAATACGACATTTATTACACTGCGCTTACGGTTTATACCTAGCCCTTAACAGAGAAGGCGTAATTTTACTACGGTATGTCCCGCACCATGAAGAGTTGCGTCGCCACTGCCTGAACCTCTCAGCTACTCAATCGGTATTATTATAAATCACATAAAATTAAAATCCATCTCTGTACCTTGGTCTTGTTAGTTCATCTTCAATAAACTAATCTTTAATAATTTGACTTGGTTTCTATTTTGAATTGGTTTACTTAACACATTTATTCCGTTATTCTCATTTTATTCCTTTTTATTATACTTTGTCTTGCTGTTTATAATGTATATCCTTGCAATTTAATAATTTTCTGAATTGTTTTTTTATCATTTTTTGGTACAGAGTTTATTGTATTAAACCTAAATGTCTAAAATTTCATTGTATGATTTTATACAAAGATGAATATAATTTCTTGTGTCTTGTACATGTATTCGTCTATTTTGTGTGTATATATTGCAGTAAATGAACATGAATAGATTGATAAATACTGTAGGTAGGATGGCAACTGGAATACAATTTATGTTACAAATAATATATTTGAAGTACAGTCAGTATAAAATAGCAGATATATAAAAAGAATCCAACAAAAGAGGATATAATACTAATGATATTAGTAATAGTAGGCCCTAATAATAATAATAATAATAATAATAATAATAATAATAATAGGAGTGATAATAATTTCGCTTAAAATGATGGTGATGATGATGATGACGATGAATATTGATAATGATTATGAAGATGAAGATGAAGACTGTAACTACGACAATAATGATGATGGTGTTGATGATGGTTGGTGACAGAATGAAAAGATGATAATGATGATGATTATTATGAATTGCTGAACTCAATATTGATATTAACAATTCCCCATCAATAATGGAACTTTGTTATCCCAATCTAGTTTATTCAGAATAAATAAAACCAATTATAATACAATGTAGAAAAAATATGCACCTGCATCTGTTACATTAATTGCTTAATTTGAATAGTTAAGTAAGTTACTTTTGGCAGAAAGTACATCTTTAACTAATCCAATATGTGTGTGTGTAGATTAGTGAAGATGATTCCCTAAAATTTCTTATTGTCTTGTCCTAATTACCAAATGAAGATTAAAAATTACTCTTCACGGACGCTGACTTACTTAACTCTTTGGGGAATAGAGACGCAAGCGTTTATTTTAACTATCTAATATATCCATATTTATATTAACAATCGTTTAATTTTTTGATTTATTTTTCGTTTCTCTTATTATTAGATACTTACTTTATAGATAGGGCTAAGTCTTAAAACGTGTTAATTAATTAAATTCAATTGATTCGGATGGTTTATTATAAATTATAATTTTACTTTTTATTAGTGTACTAATTTGTGTGCAATTTGATGTTTAAAATTTATATATTTATAATTATTTGTAATCAATATTTTTAGCTCTTAGGCATTTTAACTGTGTATGGGGAGTATTTGCAATATTCACCATACACGAGTATATACCATATACTCGTCGATGTTAAGGCTGTTTTTATTGAGGCGCCTCAGTTTTAAATATTTAATATTAAATAACAACCAACAAGCAGGTAAAAGTCACCATCTATAGACCAAAGTTGTTGTTATTATTATTATTATTATTATTATTATTATTATTATTATTATTATTATTACAGTATTATTATTATTATTATTATTATTATTATTATTATTATTAATTTTTTTTTATAAATGTTGTTTATAGTGTCTGGTAGTCAAGACATCATCATCAACATCATAATCATTTATGTACTTAATAACCTAATTGTTTTACTATTGACAGATTAATGTTTTCAATTGGTTTTTATTTCGTTGCCTAATGCGCTAATATTCATAATGTTTTTGTAAGTGCCTGCTGTAATTCAATCTTTCTGAACGGATCTACCTGTCAACATAAAGTGTTATTTATATTTAAATTATTCATATCGATTTGTTGAATACTTTCGGAATATGAACATTTGACGTACCGCCGTAAGTTTGTCATAAGACGTTTGAAATATTATATACACAATATATATATATCCTGTCTCTTATACACATCTAGATGTGTATAAGAGACAGGTGTATGTGTGTGTGTGTATTATATATCATCATAATATTGAGCCCTAATTACGACATGATATTTTTACCAATATAAGGACACCTTTTTTCAGATTCTTTTATCTACAAAAAAGCTCTTTTCAGATGTTGTTATCTTGAAAATTGCTACAAGGTTCGCGGATGGAGTTTTAGCCTTTTACGAGACCAGTAGTAGGTCTACATGTACAGTAGATTTAAAGCATGAATCATTTTGTGCTGCCGTGTAGGAGCTATATTGTTTGCTGTAAGCCTAGGCCTATTTAAGCTTTGGTGGTAGCACTAGACTTAAGTCCAACGCCCGAGTCTCTAGGCACAAGGTCCAATTGGCAAGCTTCACCACACTTAGTTTTTTGTCACAAATGGTGTCGTTATGGACTCATTGGCGATCGTCCCGTTTTTCTTTATTGTATTCTTGTTTTGAAGATGACTTATCGATGTCCACTTATTATTTATTTAAATTACCTAATAGATTGGCTAACATTTGTATTACATAGATAACGAAGCGCCTTTGAAATATTTGCGCAACTTACCGAATTGTCACTGGCTGCCGCGTGCTCTTGACACAAGTAGTGAAGCTTAGCAATCTGACGTGTGTTTTCTTCAAGTTGGGATTTCATTACTGTCACCTCTGTTTGCAGTTTTGCCACATACCAAACAAACATGAAACATACCAAGAGCCCAAGCAGGTACATGAGACGTGAGCCCCAAGTTACCTGTCGCTGCGACATAGTAGTTTTATCGGATGCTTGATAACAACTATCGCCCATCGTCAACGCTACAGCTTTGGAAGACATCTCGCAAAAGTTTAAAACTTAACTGATGTGAATCGCAAAATCGTTGAAGAGGGCTGAGTTATGAGGGACGTGAATCTCGAACTACCGAAAGTGACTTTTCTGAGTTTCGAATGAAACTTCTGAGGACCAACGTTAGCGGTATGCGATTTTAAGTCGCGAAGCTGTTCTATGAAAATCGAGGGGCTCATGTTACCTGATTGGTTACATTTTGTGTCCAATCAGAAACATCAGGTAGTGGTTATCTACACAGAAATGCGCGTTGAAGGGCCTAATCGTAGTATCAACAGTGTACCTGGTTCCTACGAAATACTTAATTACTCAACGCGAGTACAGTTACTATGAAACTATTAACTCTGTAATTGTATGAAAATATCTGAAAGTATATAAACAAACGTTTATGTAAGTCGATAAATCTTATCGATAATCGTCATTCAATTACGATTGTCACAGACAGGACGGAACTGTCAAAACTATAAACGTAAATTGTGTAGTCTGATCATTGTATGGTAAAATCGCCATTTAATTTGTAATTGACGTGTCTAGGTATTATTGGTCAATGATTTAGAGACCAAGATCATTAAAGTGCATGATTATAAACTATAGCTACAGCAGTATTTTTTTTATACGTATGACGATATTTAGTATACAGATGACAGTGATGTTGATAGTGATGTTGATAGTGATGACGACGGCGACGACGACGATGATGATGATAATGGTGACGATGATAATAATGATGATGATAATGACGATGATGGTGTTAATTATGGGTGGTGACAACATGATGGTGGTGATGATGATGACTATGGCAGCTACGACAACTATGATGATTATGATGATTATGATGATGATGATGATGATGATGATGATGATAATAATAATAATAATATTAATAATAACAATAATAATGTTGGCGAAGAAGATTATAACTGACACGACGATGATGATGAAAATGATGATAAAGCTGAAAATGACAATAATGTTTAATATGATGACAACTTAATATGATAATTATTATATTTATAATATTTAATATTATTATTACTGTATTATCATTATTATTATTATTATTATTATTATTATCATCATCATCATTATTATAATAGTGATTTTGCTCACGATGGGGTGCTAATAAAATGTCAATCTTGGTGATGGTGATAATTGTGCCACAATGGTGGATGGTAATTTTAATAAAATAACAAAAAACAAATCATATAACTATATTAAATAATGATAAGGATATTATATCAATAATTAACGACATATTTATGATTCCAATCATTGTACCTTCTTTTAGTTACTGTGTCATTGGGTGATAAAGATGCGGTTTCAATCATTAAACATTTGCTGACCTCTTCGTCTACATGGTGAAGTGCGGTAAGTCACGATACCTGTTTAAAATGAAACATTAAACATTAAGATGTAGAAGGGAGGCAGCGTTTTGGTGTAACCGAGGCAATTACAACAATCTTTGGGGTTCGGACCAAAGTAAGCATACGCCCACAATAGCTTTGTTCAACTTCATCGAACCAGAGACTTTGACAGGCCTAGCGACATTTTATTCCTCCATGGTTTATTTAAGGGACCTGGCATTGATATTTGATTCAAATAATCTCCCAGGGTAGCTGGTGTTCGATAAATAATATCAAAGTTCGCTCATATATTGATTTGGTCGAGAAATATGGATCATGCTTGGCAACTGATCAATTTATTGTTATTCATTTTACAGTTTAATTGTAGTCTACCAATCTATTGTAGTCTACCAATCTATTAAATTTCCCGTAATTTTAACATCGGATGGGAGAGAACATCGTCTGATCAAGGCTTGGCACGTTACCAAGCTTGCTCAGGTGAACAATATTATTGTCTAGGCTGAGTCGCGACAAGTATTATTTTGGTACCAGTCCTTGAACCACAATAGTTCAGCGTTAATGTAAATATAGCTCTAACAGACGTACCGACAGCATATAAACATAATACGGTCACATTGTATTATTGGGGGCGCTTATTGTTGGGAATTATTATTGTCGTTTTGCCGATTGGCATATAGATTACAATATTATATGTGTTTTTTATTACTTTGTTATAGGCCTATAACTTGGTCGTTTGATTTGAGATAATTCTAAATACAATACTATATTGTTATTTCATATCGATCAGTTATCGATTGAGGATTGTCAAATTCGTAGAATACACCATTTTGCAATATCATAACAAGGATTATAATAATTTTATAGGTATTCACTGAATACACCAATATATATATATATAATTAAGCACTGTTATTATTATTATCCATTTGTTTATATATGTGTGTGTGTTGCCGTCATCATTCATCACTAATCATTACCACTAATATATATATATATATATATATATATATATATATAGTGTATAGGCCTATATCTGTCTCTTATACACATCTAGATGTGTATAAGAGACTATGATATTGATGATGATGACGTCAATGATGATGATGATGATGACGACGATGAAGATGATGACGATGATGTCTATGAAGATGTCAATGATGATTTGGTGGATGTCAAATGACGAGGTGGTGGTGAATGGTGACGATGATGACGAAGATAATAACATTGTTTTGCATTCAGTGATAGTGATGAGATGAGATGACATTGATGACAATGACGATGGTAGCGACGTCGACGACGATGATGTTGACTCAGTGGTGATATGATGATTGGTGATGATGATGATGATGACGATGATGATGATGATTATAATGTAAAATGATGATGAGGATGATAATGATGATGATGACGGTGGTGGTGGTGGTGATAGTGATGATGATGATAATGATGATGATGACGATGGTGGTGGGGATGGTGAATTATCGATAAGCCTATTGGCCGTCAGCAAATAATAATGAGACGCAATCTGAAGTGATGAATGGACTATAGGCCTACTGTTACCACACTTCCTAAAAGGAAAAAAAAAATTTACAATACCAAACCAGGAAACGAAAAAAATAATGCTTTCGTGCAACACAAATTCGGTGAAATCGTCTGTTAGTGGGGGTGAGGTAAACAATCTAATCAACCGGAACAAACCGACTCGTAAAGCTATTGTCCACATGCCAAGGTATATAGTTTTCTATTGTACCTGAAAGAACAATATCAAAATATAAAGTCATCTAAATTATTTGCATATGCTTTGAAGATGATTCTATAATGACCTTGTCCCACTATGAATACAATCGGGTTGGCCAATGAGATAGGGCAGGTGGCACGCCAATTTAGGCTCCAGAATAATATAATACATAGGCAGATACAGGTTCAAAGCCTAAATTGGCAACTGGACCTTAATTATTGTTACACCATGCATACTCATTTGTACCTAGCTAGGCCAACGCTGGATAGAGTAGGGCTTATTATTTGTCGATCGAAAATTAGGTTTGATTGTCAGACTCGTATATTGTACATTTAATCTATAATCTATATGTGGATTTTTAAGGGACAGTAAAGCATTAGCCTATTTATAGCTGTAAAAGTGTGTATACATATATGTTATTAAAAGTGTGTTTACATATGTTATATTGACTAAAAATTACGTCGTCAGTAAATTTACCCATATGCAAGAGGGCGCTACACTATTAAAGAGCATCGTCTGCCTGGAAATAAAATACAAAAATGAGGAATGGAACAGGTCGAGCAATAGCAAACAAATAACTCATAACGAAAATCAAAATATTTATTATCTTAGTTAAACCATAGATTGAAAATGTGAGGGACAACTACAATGTGATAAACTCCGGGCTGGTGCACGATCATCGTTTTCATTTTTCACCCGATGATCACCATACTGAATCTAAAGTTTTATATTCGTACGCTTATTATTTAATATATCGGCACAATGCAGTTTCTGCAGCACACAATTTATAAAGTGCGTTTGTACGTTTTGTAGAAAAAATTGTAAATCCTATATTAGCACTAATTGTTATTGTTGAATGAAGCAAAAAGACGATACAATACAATATAAAGACCACTATCTGAAACTGCGACACACACAGATGTAAATACGTGTCAAGTTTTATTTATATTTTACTCATAGCCTTTAGGGATTGACCCCGATCTTAACTCCGATGGTACTACTGTATTATTAAATACACTTAAAAATAATGAAATCAATGTTACTGTTGTCAACATTCACATCATGTACTGTACACCTGACGTCTTACCAAATAGTGCACATTACAAAGACGTCCCCAGTCCGAGCGAATATATTATTATTATTATTATTATTATTATTATTATTATTATTATTATTATTATTATTATTATTATTATTATTATTATTATTATTATTATAAGGCCTCCTATTATTATTATTATTATTATAGGCCTAATGATAATAATACAAGAATTATAATTATATTGATTATATTAATCAAATCAAGTCAAATAATAACGTTGACAATAATGATATTGATAAGTATAATGATTATAACCAAAATATTAATTATATTAATAATAACGGCAATAATAATAATGATAATGATAATAATGATATTGATAAGTACAATGATGATGATAATAATAACAATAACAATAATTGCTATTATTATTAATTATAATAATAATTATTATAATCATTATATTAACAATAATTATAATAGTAATAATGATAATAATGATATTGATAATGATAATTATAACGACTATGATGATAATCATCAAGTGAAAAAAAAAAACTTAAATATTTATCGTTATGTTATTTGTATCTTATTTTATTTATTTGTACTTTTTACTGGGTTATCACTTCAGAAAAGTGTTCAAAAAAAGGCGCCAGTAACTGAGCATAAAACACTAAAACAATATCAATCACATCAAAATATCAAACATTAAAAAAGGAGAATAATAAAAAAAGAATTACCTACCCCACATTCCAAATTTGAGTACCCCTAAGAGTAAATCTTCTTCTTCTAGATTAAGTTCAGTCTTTGGGCAGAATTAAGCTTCCTGCAGAACTGGATCTGGTAGTCATGAACACTGTCAATTGAAGTGAAAGTATTTTGGAGAGAACGGATTCAAGCATTTGTTAACTAAGGTGAATAAAGGTTTATTTCTCCTTTCGCCAAGAAAAGACCAACCTACGGGGTAGGTCTACTCAGAGACGCCGAAGTAGGCACGATGGCGTGCATTTCGATACTTGGAGTATGTATTACACTATCTTGGGCTTATCTTATGTCAAAAGATATAAGAAATATGAAAACATAATCCATAATCGTGAAAAATAAGGTACAGTACCTCACGCCAGCTACGCTACTTCCTGTTCGATGGTCAACTGATTTCGGAAACAAGGCAGGGGCAGGGGGAAAAGAACCGCCGTCGGGGACCTCTGGACCCCAATTGGACCCCCTGTCGGGAAATTTCAAATCTCGAGCGCCGAAAGTACAATTCCAGCATGCCTTTAAGCTGTCAACATTTTAGGGATTAAAAACTGTTTAGTGCGAGCAGCGCTCCCGTTGGTGTTAGGTGTTACTATTGCGATCGTATGGGTTGCAGTGGTGCGCCAGCTCTTCCCCGACAGGTGGGCTGGAACCTCCGACAGGAGGCTAGTACCTGACTTGGGGGACTGTACCCCCGACATCCATTTTAAATAAAGAATCCTATAATTAACTTTTAATTTTAAAAAATCCCCGACAAATTTTTTTCGACCAAGGGTGGGGGGATGGTGCTAGGCTTCTCTGACGGGGGAGGGGCGTGGACCCCTTGTCGGAGAGATTTGGTCCCCCATCGGGGAATTCCTGGCACCTAAAACCCTCCTGAAAGAAGGAAATTAAAAATCAGGAAATGAAGTATACGGAAACTAAGAACAATACGGACGGATGGCTCTATTGTCTAGTAAACCGAGTATACGGATGTAAATTTATTTTTGGGCTTATGGTTAAAAAAAGTAAACAGAACATGAATTTATAGGAAATAATAGATGCCGAGCCTACCTTTAGGTGTTCAGCTGATGATTCACGGACTGGCATCTGTATGTACGCTATTCCGGTTTGCTTAACATACTCACAGTACACTAAGCTGTTATAGCTGTGAGAGCTGTTTACATCACTACCCTTAGAAAGATCATCATATGAAGTTCGAAGATGCTTAGGCTATTGTCACACGGAAAATGACAGCGTGCTCTTCATATTGAGAAATGTCAAGTCACAGACCTGGAGATCATCACTAGACAGCTTATAATTCATCTGTGATAAGCTAGAACCAAAATATATATTCAGAGTTTGAATAGCTTTTGAATATTAAATAAAAAGTATTTTTTAGCTTTGAATTGACAAATGGATAACAAATATCGTCATCAATTGTTCACACAATATTGTGTCCTTAAATTAGCTGGTAAATAATTCAAAGACTACATTGTAGTAAACTGTCTTTAAATCCGCTAAACATGTTGTTTTGATATGTATATCAATAATCTAAATTTGATTGTTCAAAATTTTTAATTGCATTTTTAATTCTTTATTCATTTAGTCTTAACTGTAAAAGTGGGTTATAAATGCATTAGGAAATTGATAGAAAGACCGATATAAATAAATGCCCAATTAAAAGACCAATTATGGGAAAGGGGTTTTCATGGTCTTCAGCAGCTTTGGTCTCTGATTAGAATAATAAAAATAAAAGACATTTGTTGATTTGGGGCCACAGAAAAGTGAACCTTAATTGGGGGTGGTCTATAAATGGAGGGGTCTTTAATTGGAGGGAGACCAGTACAACTTATGAAATATAATTTATGCTTATAGCCGTGAGAAAATCTTTATTTGAATCCATGATTCAGAGACAATAATAATAATAATAATAATAATAATAATAATAATAATAATAATAATAATAATAATAATAATAATAATTATTATTATTATTATTATTATTATTATTATTATTATTATTATTATTATTATTATTATCACGATGGTGGTATTGATGATGATATACAATTGTGATGATGATATGTGATCATGTGATGAAGATGATAATGATATTGATGATCATCATCATAAACATAAATGATACTGTTAATAGCCTGAATAATAGTAATGCAATAATAATAATAATAATAATAATAATAATAATAATAATAATAATAATAATAATAATAATAATAATAATAACAGCCCTAGCGTTGATGTCCTGTTCACGCATACCCCCCTCCCCCACACACACGCATGCACACCCACACGTTATTTATTCTTATACACAAAACAATCGACTAGCTTATTATACACTTCTGAAGAAAGAACTCTTTCTGAAAAAAATATCAATGTTAATAATATTAACAAGAAACATTTACCTGTTACAGAACACAACCTACTGCTACACCTGTAGCTACAGGTTAACTCGTTGTGTCTGTCTTCTGGGCAGATCAGTTCCTGGGTAGGTTGCCTCACTGCCATCAACATCTTATGAAGTTATGTGTGATATTTTGCTTAAAATCATCTATGGCAACCATTGTTGGAGCAGCTAGGACCAAAATAGAAGTATGTATAGTCTGCAGGCTCAAAATTCGTGCACTGTTCACGACGTTCACCATAACAGCTCTGCCAGGAGAGATACAAATCCATCGTCTTGTTATCGGTTTGGTGTCATCGCGTCGCTTTCACGTACTAATTTTAGACTTGTCGAAATTCCCGACACGTCTAATCTATAATATATTATCATTATGGATATGGTATTATAGATCATATAGTTAGATTATTTCAAACACTATATACAGATAAAGGGAATGTAATGGTGACTGTAGAATAAAAATAGTTCTTGGTAATTTTATTTATGGTCGATTTTCGTTTCTACATATGTGTGACAACGTATCGCATTGTACGGAAAGAATACACGAATACTGACATGTTGACGCCCAGATCTAAAAATACAATCGCGTGTAGAATTGTGGGATTTTAACACGCTAGTCATAATAACCATTTAATGTTTCATTAAGTACATTCTAAAACCAATACATAATAATGAAACCCGTATAGTACAGTATTCATACATAAAAATTAATACATATCTGCATAGTATAATTATATTTAAGACCTATTTTATTCAATTTGGTACGGTATAGGCCTATTAGAAATACGCAGAAAACCAATAAGTTACGTGATGCTAGCTAAATATGCAATCAACAGTAGACCAAGAAATAGTACCTTAAATAATGTAATGAAAAAAAAATTTAAATAAGATTTCAGGTTTGAATTTTATATATATATATGTATGTATGTATATATATATATACATTATAAAAATGTACATATAAGCCTCAAGGCCATAAACATTGTGTAGATTAACGTTGTAACCATCAATAATAATTTTGAAATTTTCTTTCTTCTTTCATATTGCATATTAGACATTTAGACTGAGCCCGTGTAGGCAGAGTAGCAACGAACATGACAATTAAATCTTTTTACGTCATGATTATACCAAGAACTAAACAAATTAAAGCGACATACACGTACATATGCTTAACGGATTTTACCTATAGTTATTTTTAAAATAATACGAATCGCCCATATATTTTATAGGACAAAATTACGTAAAACAATACATACTTACCTGATGATTAGATCTCGAAAATACACGGGCTTCATTGCAGCAAATAATGCAGAACTGAATCGAGCGAACTTTGAGCAGTTCCTTGGTACCTGTTAGCGATACAAACCCACTTTCAAAAATGGCAAAATTTTATAAGTAACCAGGATCTAGGCACCATTTACAATTATTATTTTAGATTAGGGAAATCCCAGCGCGTCGTGGACTCTGTCAAATTATCGCGCTTTTATTCATGCATAATAGAGCTATTTGTGAATCAACACTGGTGGAATTCGCTTTGAATAGGCCGGCCGGTAAACGGGAACTTCCCTTGAATGGACAGGGCAAGAAGAACATTTCTCTCTCCACCGATTTTATCTGTCAAAACTATTTATCTGATTGAAAACATAGATTCCTAATAATAATCTAATCTTTCTCTTTTATGCTTAAATAAATGGCTCTGTAGGTACAAATCAGCCTTCAGTTTAAAAAACAAAACTAGCGAGAAAAAAAACCCCCGTTAGCATTACACAATGGCTGGAATTACACTCACCGGGAAACTGTTAATCACCTATCCTACATCATGCTCGACAAATTCAATACAATCATTCTGTTGACAAATACAACTTATATTGAATAAAAAAAATGTTTAAATAAAATATTAGTTCCGTCATTATGGAATTATTATTAGTATAGCCTTCAATAGACCATGACATGTCTATATTGAGATGAATGGTGAATCTATGTGCACATTACATCATAAGGGATAAAAGGATAGTAGGCCGAGGGAACAGTTAAGTAATTTCACTGTTCCCTGGTAGGCCTAACTATTTTATATGTATTTGGGCTTATTACTCTCCTATTTGCATTTTTGTATAAATCTCTCAACTTACCGTCCATGTACTAAATTCAATGACGATATTTATAAACATGATGCACATTGTATAGGCCTAAACAAAAATACCGCAAAAACTTCGAACAAGCACCATGGGCTTAAATCTCGAGAAGCCGCCCATCTCGAAGAGAATTCCCCTCTTCATTTAGCTAAGGTAATCTCGAAAAGAAGCCCAAGGCTTTTATTCGAGGTTTTGCGGTATAAAACAATAAGTATTATAAGTTTTCCAAAAATGTGTTTGCTAACCTTGCAATTGTGGTATCAAGAAAAAGCTCTTCTCCGTAAAGAATCCTCCTGTTCAGTTGGCAAAAGTAATCTCGAAATGAAGCCCATCTCGAAAAAAAGCCCATGGGCCTTTATAAAAATATTATGGGCTTCTTTAGAGATAGCAGATCAGACTGACGATATATACTGTATGATGATTATGATAGCGTATCAGTACTAACATGGTTAAAATTTTAAAAAATATTAACCAAGTTCGAATTCGATACTTGCAAATGTCGTATAGTAGCATTAGTAAGCCAACAGTTCATGCATACCCGGAAAGATATAAGTTTCCACAAGCCTAGCTAGCTTGAAGTAAGTGAACTTGAGTGTGGAACATACATATTCGTGGCTATTGAATAAAAGATCACAATAATTAGGGGTATGCAACCTAACGTTACTTGGAAAATTAATATTTTGGTCCAACGACCTCTTTGTGGCGTCAGACGACGGAGTCCAAGACTGTCCCACAGGGAATTTCCTCTTCCCCTCTCATCCCCCATTGGCCACCACTCGGTACAGTGACTGGATCCACAACGTCGGTAATGGAACAAACTAAACATTTTCTTGGACCATGATAGGTTACGCCCACTTACGACCGTGGTCTTTGATTTTCACTCGCGCAAGTCAAGAAAAAAAATTTGAATCCGTTAATTTGTTGTACATTCTTGAACATACCATATTGTAAACAGGGTCAACGGTTATTCTCTTCTACTACCTCGGTTCAGCACATACACAGTAGTTACATGCTGTCTTCTAGTGAGGTAAATGCTACCCCCGGTCGGTGAGAAAAACCACATTTTTTCGGGGAGAAAATTTTTTTTTATGTACTTTCTACATATCAGTAGACTCAAAAATCAATTAAGTAAGCTTTTGAAACCCCTAAATTGTCAAATATTTTCGGGGACTTTGCCCCCTAGACCACTTTCGAAGCCTTTTAATCGAAGCTCGACTACGCCCACTTTGATTTCGTTGGGAACCTCGGCCACCCCATCGGGCAAATCCTGGCGCCACCCCTGCCAGTTGCGTATCTAGGTGACGGCGGGAAAGACGCACCTAAAAAAAAAAACTTGCACGGCTCTCCAACTCCCCTTTGAATTGTTTAAAGCGAAAAAACTCATGCTCAAGTAGAAAAAAATCACCTCATATCACATTTTACAAGCAAGCGCCCAATCACAATTGATCTTAGATACACCACTGGTCAATACCAAGTTTCTTCCAGTTTTAGCAACAACATTCAAAATCAACGCTGAACACAGAGGAATGTGCTGATTAAGAGCAAAACTCGCACTCACAGCAGGGCAAGAAGACTTACAGTGACACATATATCAAATTTCCAGACATGTTTGTCAATGCTCCTTTAATATTTGCTTCTTCGTAATGAATACGCCATTCAACAACAAACACTTTTAAAGGGAGGTGAAGTCTGTTACCTTCACTGAATACGCTATCCCAAGGATAAACTTCCACATTGTTCTTTTTTTTAAAAAAACAACACAATAACAAAAAAAAATACAATGTGATCAATGATACCAGTGAAAATGGTATAACAGAGAATCACAAATAAAAAAATAATTGATAACAGCAGCAATAATTATAGCATTGACAACATAAAAATAAATTGGAACTGACAAAAATAATTAAAAAAGACAGTTTTACTAAAAAAAGGTTTTGTAGTGTGGGAGGGGTTGCAGGCTGGCTTGGATATTGGGAGCATTCTATATTACAAATTTATGCATATTTACAAATTGACATAATGCAACATCTAAGAGAGAGAGAGAGAGAGAGAGAGCGAGAGAGAGACGGGCTTCCAAAATTACCCAATCAAATTCTCTCATTTTTTACACAAATTAATATCAAACATACTAGTACATGGGGGAAAACAGCTGTTTCATCAGATATTTTAGACACTTCTCAGCACACCATTTACGCTGCCTCAGATAGCATTACAGTGTACTGACTACGAGTAAGAAAACATTCTACTAAGTATACAACGGATTTCCCGAAATATTCAATTAAATTTAAACAGCGTTGTTTCCCACACTTGTACATAAAAGCTGACCCGGCACATTCAACCAATCACACATATTTCTATTATAAAAAGTACATACAGGTAAATAAAACTTAATAAAAGAAATAAGCAACTGTATTTACCAAAATTATAACAAGTCAGTCGCACAACTGATCAGTTGAACCCATTCCATGAGATGGGTATATTTGCAAATTTGACATGAACGTATATTACACTGTGAAGATATCAAATCGCTTTTCTACTTTTCAATAAAATGTTATCAATCAAAATTTATCAATACAGTAATTGATAAATATTGATTAATTCCAATAAGAGATAAATAACTGATCCTGATTGCTGGGCAACTACTTAACTGATCACATAACTGATAGTATCAATAACTGATCACAAAAATAACTGGTGATAATAATTGATTACTATCAATCATCAAAAACTGATCCTGATCAATTATTACAGTAGTACCAATAACTAATACTGATCACAATAATCATTTAGTATCAATAACTGATTAAGAACTCATCACTGATTGATTACTGTTCTTAACTAGTCAACATCTGATCATAATATATTACTGTAGTACCATTAATTGATGATCACAATAATTGATTCATATTACCTGATAAAATCTGATTACAATTCAGTTAATCAGTAGCAATAGCTAATCAACAAATGATCAAAAAAATTTATTAGTCAATAACTGATCACAATTTTTTTGATCACTTGTTAGTATTGGTAACTGACCAAAAATTGATCACAATAATTAATTAGTATTGGTAAATGATCCACAAAAATCATGATGGATTAATATTATTTCTTGATCATAACAGACTAATATCAATCAACCATCATTACTGACATTTGATCACTATCAATTAATATCAATAAGTGATCATATTGTAAGTTAGGTTCATGTCAATAAGCGATCATATTGTAAGTTAGGTTCATGGTACGCAATTGTGAAATGTGATTCCATAATTGGCACTTTTATGGAGGAAACAACCACCTGCTAAAAATCTGTTGAGCAACCCAGTGATTACTCAACCATGTCATGTTCTAAAACTCCATCAATTTTATTTATCGTGCTAATGTTTCCATATAGACACTATCTCCCAATAAAAAGCATTTAAATGTATATTAACAATACTGCAATTGTCCAGGAAGAACCTTGGTAAGAATATTAAGAGGATCAATACTGAGGGCAGCAGACTCTCCATCAACATGCTAGAGGGCAGCAAATTCTGTAAACTTATATATTACATGAGTTTCCAAACAAGACAAAACAGCCCTCATAACCCTCAAGTCCATTATTATTAGATGGCTAGTATTTATAATTTGCTTTACTATAGCATCCTTGTAATGACCTCTACAGGGAGAGGGAAGTCAGGTCAACACATTGCAATTGACACTTGCATCTATGTTCAGGAGACTGCCAATTTTTCCTTGTTACTTGCAGTGCCACGGTGGGATGCATCCTCTTGTAAATTCTTGCAGGGGCAATGAATTTTATTGATCGTTCCACTAAGCAAAGTTAGGTTAATTTCAAATGTCTTTCTTTGCGTCTTCCCTGAATTTAACATTGTCCTAGTTTACCTGACCATTAGACGTCATGGTCACTTTCTGAGGTCTAATACGCACACCTAGAAAAAATATAATACATTATGATTAACTAAAATGCATGGTATAAAATAAATATAGTACAGAAATAGTTATAGTGGTTATCACAGCAGTTTTGAGTTTCAATCTTGAGGTAGAGAAATATATTAAGCCGGTTTTACACTAAGCAAATATATTCGCGCAAATTAAAAGCATGCTCATTTACATTTCTGACTTTTTCGATTCAGCGAAATCAGTAGTTCAAACTGTTTCTACTTTTTGCAAAGCGAAAAAATGTACAACCAATCAGAGCTGAGGAAATAAACCAAAGCTTTTGATTCACGCGAATAAATTTGCATAGTGTAAAACCAGCTTCATTCAGTGGGCATAAAATTGCTCCAATGAGGAGAAGTTCACAATTAAAATGTCACCATGTCGCTTTAGAAAAAAGGGTAGAATACATTCTTATATTATTATCATTATCACAGCAAGTGTTTGCATCAGCCCAAATAAATCCTGCAAATTTTGGTTAAAAATTAAATATCCATTTCTAGGGTTCCCAAGTTGGAAGAAGCCACTTCTGATGTGGTTAAATGAGCTCATTTAACGCATGTCATTTTATTTTGCTGTGCAACGTAGTGCCCACCAGCACCTACTTCTGGGAAACAATAATTTACATTAATGTAAAAACATGAAAATAATAATACATTAATGTAAAAACATGAAAATAATAATACATTAATGTAAAAACATGAAAATAACAATAATACATTAATGTAAAAACATGAAAATAATAATAATACATTAATGTAAAAACATCAAAATAATAATACATTAATGTAAAAACATCAAAATATTATAATATTTGGAAGATGGGTTATTTTCCAGGAGATTCTTGTTTGCTTGTGGGAGACCTCGATTTTCAGAAAACTCCTACAACTTGCGGGGGACTTGGGACCCCTGCTTTTTAAATTGTTATTGGAAATGTGTGTGATTGTTAGAAAAATGTACATCACAGGCCTAATTATATATTTTACTCTCATAAAAAAAACTAAATTGCATATTAACCATTATAAATATAATTAAAATGATTATTTTTCAATTGTGTATTCCATCATAAGTTTACATCATTTAATATAGAATATCCATAAATAAGTTAGATTACTACAAATATTAATAATCTTACCGAGCCATCCGACGCACTAGCACCAACTTTATCACCTCTAGAATTCCAGCAAACCTCAAAGATACCACCAGTTCCTCGATAACTATGTACAAGACTGCCAGTCTGTAGGAAATTCCAAAGAAAACAAAAACACTTCAAAAATACAATATCATATGGATATGAGCACTATACTAACCTTATTAACATTTTATATACAAATTTTCTTGCAGTAATAAATAAATATTTGAATTACTTATAGATATTATATTTCCTATATTTTACAACAAATGTTGTGAAGACCAGCAAAACCAGTCACTCCTCACAAATCCTGTTTTGGAGATAATAGCCAAAACATGTTCACATGACAACATTTTCGAAATCAACTTTATTGCACTACTAAACTAACCTTTACATATCTATACATCATGCTTTGTTGTTATTTTCCCCCATTTTGTAAGTTAAAACAACATCTTTTTTAAATATTTGGTGATGGTCTCTGCCTGAGAAATGTCTGAAATAGTCAACTTGAAAGGGCAGATTTCTTAAATGCTGTTTTTTAAACAGCTGTATGTTTAAACTCCTGTAAATTCATAACAAAATTCCAGATTTAAATGAGGCTTTTACCATATTATAACATACATTTTTTACTGTTCAACCCTGTATATTAATGATATATTTTGCAAGGAATGACTGGTATGGCTTTTCTTTGCCAAAATTATTTTGGGCATTACTGCAAGGACCACTTAAACGTAGATTCTCACCTGCGTTGACCATATGTGGACACATTTGTCAAATGATCCACTCGCAAGGTACTTTCCATCTGGACTAAATGCCACGCTGTAAACCGGTTCTTGGTGCTGCGTCAGCGTATGGATACAGATTCCACGATCGACATCCCATAATCTTACCGTTGAATCAAATGATGCACTATGGGAAGAAATTAACAGATAATAATTTAATTCTGCTTTTATAAACTAAAATAGGATCCAAGCGGGAGCTTGTGTTTACAGCATAACATAGGTGTTTTGTGACTACTTTTAACTCATAACTCATGCAGACTTTCTGTGTTGGCAAATCACTTGAATAACTGTACAACAAACAGATTGTTGACTTTCTAGGACAGGTATCATCTAGGAATGAGTATCATATTTCATAGGCTTCTGTTGGAAGACTGTTCATTTTTATTGTTAGCTTATGACTCATTCTATTCCTCCAAACAAGATATAATCTTACAACTTACAAGTGAGATGATAGTGTCTACAGCCCCAATGTAAAATACAAAATAAATATTTTGCTTAATGTTAGGTTAATTATCTACCCTTCTTTTATAAGGACAAGTATATCATGTTGTACTCCTTACCTGGCTAACATAAGTGATGTATTGGGATTATTGGGGCTCCATTTGATGGTGTAAATCTCTTTATTGTGTGCTTGAAGATCGTGAACACTGCTCTCCTGTTTCATTGACCAAATCTGGTGAAAAAGTTCAGAATTCAGATCAGGGTTCACATTCCATACTACCAAATTATTTTGCATCCTTGTGCAACTTATTTTTGTTTGACAATTTTTTTGAAATTAAACATTTAATACTTTGGGGTTTTCATACCATTCACATCGATATAAAGCAAAACCATTTAAGTATGAGACAAACACTAGTCTTTACTGCAGACACAATTTACCTTCAAAGTCATATCGTCTGAACAGGAGGCTAACAAATTGCCCGATGGATCCCACTTGATAGCGTTTACTTCATTCTATAAATAAAAGCACAATAGCTGTTAGCTATTATGTAAGTAATACACCTCATTGTCAATTAGATACCTCTGCATCTGTCTCTTATACACATCATATATATATATATATATATATATATATAGTTGAAATAGATTTTTTTTCCATTTGCATGGAGCAATACGCAGCTTGGTGGTTCATATCCCAGCTTTCCAATCCCTCGATCATGTGTTCAAATCCTAAGTAGGCTCAACATTTTACTCAAGGCAAACAAACACCTCCAAAGCCATGTAATCAGACTTAAAAGATTTGAGAGTGTCTACTATCCAGTAATTAAAGCATTGTTCCATCCAGTAATTGGCAAGTGTACTTAGTGTTGGATGTGGAAGAAGGATATTGGTTTTTTTTTTTTTTTTTTTTATAAAGAGAAAATGAGATAATATTAAACACTCGGTAAAGTTGAATTTGATTAAACAAATAATATGGTGCTCCATTAACCTTGGCTTGTTATTAGATTACAAGCAAATTAATTGCCAATGGAACAGAAAATGAGCTTACCGTATGACCTTGGAATGTTTTTATTGGTCTATCAGAGCTTAATTTGCATACGTGAATGCAGCGGTCGGTTGAGCATGATGCAAACGTTGTGTTGTTTTGCCAGTCAACATCAAGCGCTGGAGCTATATAGAAAAATATAACAAAAAAATATATAACAATATAGTAATAATTTAAATTCATTTAAAATTGTTTACTAAAATATTCATCAAGAGATCAATATTAAAATATTATTATATTTAGAATATTAAAATATTGTTTTTAAATACTAGTACATTTATATGTACAATGGAAAAACAAATCAAATCATACATTAATTAATTCAATAAATTAAACTTCTGCTTTTCAAAAACAAACATTAATAATGACAACTATATTTAAACAATTAAAATTAAATTATATAATTTTAAGTAAGATTAATTATACAATTATCATCAGAAAGCTCTGTCAGTTGCATAATACATTTTGTCCCAAGAATATTAAGTTGCCTCTAAGAAGATATGCAAAGTAACAATACAGTATTGTTGAGTTACAGCTTATCTTCCCTCAAAATTAATTTGTTTAAAGAATTCTAACTTTGTTTTGTAACTTTTTATATATTTTATATATCTTTCTTCATCTGTATGAACTGGTAAACTGATGAATAAAAGAAATCTTGAATCTTGAAAGTGAGAATGAAATCTTACCCTGATGGAAAGGAAACTGCTGCTTGCATTCTCCTGACTGTGCATCCCAGATAATTGTGGTTTTGTCTACTCCTGCACTTAAAATATAGTTGCCTTTCTTGTTCCACTTGAGGGCAAAAATTGGCCCCTTGTGCTGGCCAAGTGTACTGACCAACCGGCCATCTGTTGACCATATCCTAGCAAAGCCATCATAGGACCCTGTAGCTAATAATGATCCATCACACTGTAACGAAGAAAATATCAATAATCATTTAATAATATTAATAATAAATAATTACAATATTAATAATAAATAATCAAATAAACCAATTGATATATACCCATTAAATATACTTACAAAATCAGATGAAATTTTATAAATCATAATTATATTAATTACTGTATTTCTGTTTTCTATCTAATTGATAAAGTCGGTTGTAGTAATCTCAACGAACATTAAAAAAAACATTATCTTGATGGAATAGTTGGGGTTACAGATTAACATACTTTGTCACAAAACAAAATAGTGCTTATTTAAAAAAAGAAAAAAAATTAATGAAATGCTAAGAATATTCAGAACAAAAATAGTAATAAACAAAAATACATAAAGTGAATATTGTATAGCATATGCTCTTTATAAAAGTAACTGAATAAAAACTGCAATATCATTTTGATTACTGTAAGGTTTTGATTACGGTTTAATTTCAAAACTCACATTCCAGTCTAGTGATGTAACATCTTTGTTACTGGGCACGTCTTGACCTCCTTCTCGTATGCAATGCCTAAGTACTAACTGATTCGGACTACTTGTGTTTTCAGCCAAATTCCATATCCGTGCAGTAGAATCACCAGAACTAAATAGAAAAACATTTGAAATTTCCCTGATTTATTTATTTAACACATTCATGTTAAAAGACATGTTAAAATGATGGCTCCCCAAAATAACATTGCGATGGACACTACCTGGAAAAAAGAACCTGGAAGGACAAAAAGCACCTGGCGCAGGACTGTGATGGCTGAACTGGCAGAAATGAATCTTACCTGGGGAGAGGCACAACATATTGCAAGTGACAAAAACAGGTGGAAAGTACTCATCGCGGCCTTATGCCACAGAAGGGACGAAAAGGATTAAGTAAAGCCAACAGCTTTCGGTGATGCTGATTGGTCAGTCAAATCTAGCCTTTCCGATTGCGTCAGGGACTGCTACGCAGTACAATTGCACTGAAAACACTGTAGAGACAGTATAGTGATTTTAAAACTAGGCCTACTACACTATAGCCTAGGTAGGCCCTACTACACTATAGCCTAGGTAGGCCTCTGTCTCTTATACACATCTAGATGTGTATAAGAGACAGCTGCTGTATTCAGCGCAAGAGCAAGCAACCCCACCAGGTACCCATTTATACTCCTGAGTGGAGAGATGTAATGCAGATAAAGTGCCTTGCTCAAGGACACAATCGAAATGCACAGCGAGGGATTGAAACCCTGACCTCAAGGTTGGGCAACCAAACCTTTCACACTGTGCCAAACCGCTTCTAAGTTAATATTATTTTCCTACATAGGAAGATGGCTTAATATTAATTGTGGTTTTTACCCTGTAATAGTGATTGGCCAACAAAATAACGTTACTTGGATACGCAAATAATAATTTAGTGCAATGGGGGAGATTTTTCCTCTCACTCCACTGCACTCCACCCCACTCTAGCACTGCCACTGGTTTAGATGCCTATCTTCTGCTAACAATCAAAGCTTGGTGGCAAAATACTAGCATACTGTATATAACTAAATAAGCAGCATCACTTCTCCAATTATTTAAGGCTTCATAGCAGTGCTTATTGGATGCATTGTAAAAATAAAGATTATCGTTATTATTGTTATCCCATTCTATTGTTATAATGATTAACATAATAGTTAGTACATCCTACCCAGATGCAAGTAGATCAGTGCATGGATTCCACGCACAGATAAACACTTCGGACTCGTGCCCTCGCAGTACTGTTGCTTTGCTTGCTGGAATTTCAAACCCTGAGTCACAGTCCATTGACTCTGTGTGGTTAGCTGAAAAATAAGCAAATAAAAATAAATTAGATTTATTTGTTTACAGTACATAAAAATTCATAAAATCCATCATCTTTAACATCAAGGTAATAAGCTCATAATTTTATATTACCTTCCGCAATCAACATAACTTTTTTTTCTAAATTAAAAAAATTGTTAAAAACCTACAAAAATAGAAACAGAACTACCCAGCTATTATCTTCATCATCCTTATCATTATCAGATGTAATCATCATCCTTACTACAGTAAACCACTATTAATGATTCTGTTATTATTATTATTATCATTATTATTATTATTATTATAATATCACAACCACCAAATAGCATTGCATTCTTATCATAACAATGATATTCTTACCTTGAATTAAGTTAATATTACTTTCTTCTCCATTAGCACTATTGCTTTCAACTTTGACCCCAAGCTGAGTATTTGCCTGAGCTTGTCTTTGAAGCTCTGCCTTCTGAAGTGCTATGTTGTCAGGGACAACGGCATCAATCAATGAGAGAGAATCTAATGCCCTGTCTATTGACGTTCCATCCTGCAAAGACAATTTCATATTCAAAAACCATTTATACTTTTGTTTAGCAAACTTTACTTCTAAGTAAAAAAATAATCATTTGATAAATAAAAATGCAAGCATGAGGTATAAAAACTCACTTTAAAGATGTATCAGTCAAAAAGAATCAAATAAATTATTAGCTTCCACCAAGAAACAGATTGAAAATTTATTTTCACATATATTTTACTACAAAATTATTAAATTGAATACCAGCCAATTTAAGGATTTTGTAGTAAAATGTCTGTAAATAAGTGAAAACTAATTTCTTTTTGACCTGTTTCTTGATAGATACTAAACATTTATTTGATTCTTTTAAATGAGCTTTTCATTTTTTGAGGCATTTTCCTATGTTTTGACAGTACATCTTTACATGACAAGCATGCGATTGTTATCTTCATCCTCATGAAAAACAGGATTTAAACTTCTTTATAAATATGTCTTAGGTTTCGTACACTTACTATAATTAAATTTCAAATTCTAGTTGCCTGTAGATAAATACTCATTTACAACTCTAGAATAATAACTAAAGAACTTAACTCAAAAACCGATTTAAAAAGGCAAGCATCTATACCAACAATTCAATATACTGCTGTACTGAAGTAGTCCATCACTATCATAATTTATCATTTTCAGAGTCAACATAAAATGTCTTGTTGGACTGTGATACCAATCTGAGGCAACCACAAATTATGAATCAAGGAAATCGAGGAAAATAATAAGAACGTTACCTCATTTATACTGATTTCTGCTTCCACATACTGCAAACCTTTTTGTATGATTGAAATTAGAGCAGCAGGAGGAACTAACGTGCCATTGATGTTGGACTGACTAATGTGACTTTCAACACCAAATGTGAAGGCAGAATGTGAGAACCCTGCAGAAAAAAAAAAATTAATTTAGTTTATCCTTAGAGGATACAGTACACTACTCATAAGAGATCGAACAAAGAGTCAATATGTATAATAAATTAAAACATGGCTTCCATGTAGCATTGGGAGATCAAACATGAGGGAGTTTACAGTAGAACTTAACAAATTCATAAATTTTATAAAAGCAAACAAGTATATCTGACCTGATTCTTGTAAGTAGCGGTAGACAAGAAAGTTAACCTCATCACTGCTGATACTCATACTGAAGTCAAGACTTCAAACGGTCTTCAAAACCTTTAAAACAAAAGGATAAATACATTGTGTGGTGATTCAATGGCATGGCATGACAAATGCTATCCCATGACGTCACAGATACAAAATGCACAGTTCAATCCAAAACTATATAC